GGACGCGGGAGCCAAAGCCTCAGAGGCGCGGGACCCCTCCGCCTCCCGGCTTTGCTCCAGGTGTCCCTGGTGTGCTGGAGACGGTCCCCAGTAGACCAGAGGCACCGGGAGCAAAGCAGCAGCAGCGGCGGAGTCCCGTGCCTCCCCGGCTTTGCTCCCGGTGTCCCTGGTCTGCTGGAGACGGAGCAGCTTTTCTCGCCCCGGAGGTCGAGGTGGCAGGACCGCTGCGCTCTGGGCAGTCCCGCTGCCTGCGAGTTCCGGGGCGAGAGAGCCCCGTTCGTAAGTGCGGATCCGACCTAAGTCGGATCCGCGTAACTCGGGGACTGCCTGTACTTTAATGAAACAGCAATTTAATGTCTGGTGAAAGTGATCACTAAACTGCATTCCTTGGATTTAGCATTGTGCTCCAATGCTTAGTTTAGGATATTTATGCTGTAATTCATATTTAACTAAACTCTTAGCTCACTGTCCTGCTGGTAGATCTCACTACTTGTTATACTCTCATAAATGGGAAGACTTAAGATTTTGAAGACAGGGAGATTATTCAACAGTGATTGCTATTTTTCAAGAGTTAAGTCTGTGTATTTGCTCTCTCTGTCCACCTTCTCTTCTGCCTGGGAGTTCTATATAAATAATATCAGGTCTCTGTGTTTAAGAAACAGGGACTAAGTTGGGAGTAGCAAACGTCATATGAAGTAGGACTTTAATATCACCCTTGTGTAATATCTTTCATGCATTTGCCAAAAGATACAACTTTTCAAAGTAGTGCCACAACTTAATACCAGGGTGCTGTATCCCACAAATGGGAATTCAAGTGTGAAAATGCAAAGGTGACTCTTGAAGAACAGCCATAAATGGCAAGTAACCTCTTTCCAATTGTCAGACAAACAAATTGAATCTGGACTCCAAAAGTCTAACTATTTTTCCCTCCTGCTTATATTTTGCAAGTGAAGCTTAATAAATTAATGATAAAATCTTTTCTTTTGACTCACGAGCCAGATTAGAATCCAGTGAACTTTCCCGTAATTGTGGGTTCTGCTGTAAACAGTAATAGACTTAGCTTTTGTCCCTAAAGTATGTAAACCTGACTTTGAATAAAATGAAGGCAAATCAGCTGAGAAAGACAAAGCTATTTTTTACATTAACATTCTTTCATCATCATCATGATCATCATCATGCTCATAGATAAAAGCATAAAACCCTACCAGCATTTGCTTAATAATTTCATGTGTGGGGGGTTAGGCGTTCTGATGTGATAAATGCTAATGATACTGATGCCAAGCTTTTTTGAGCCAGTGGCTTTCAAGTTTTATTATATCTACAAGTTGGGGAGACATACTTTAAAAAGCAAACAAAATTCTGGAATAGTTACTTGGAACGTAAACCTAGAAAATATTGGTCAGATTCAGTGTTTTTTGAGACTCATCTAGAGCAGTATGGTGTCATCTTGAAGGCAGACAGTAAAATCAAAGCACAGCTTTTTCTTTGATCTCAATATACAAGTACTTCAATTTTAGTGTGAATTCTTGTGATAAGTGTGCCCTTTGTTATACCGTATCATTGTAAGCACTAAAAAAACCTTTATACTTTTTTTTTTAAACCCTGCATTTTATTTATAATATAATATCTTACTAGAAAGTCTTTTTTTACTCTGGAGAACTTTGGCTTGAGCCACACATTCCTACAAGTCAGCTCTGTACTGGAGCATGGAAAGCAAGTGGCAGTTTTTCTTTTCTATAGAGCATGTGCTGTTTTTGTTACTATAAAAGGAGAACTGTTTCACAGAGGAAGATAAGTTGGATGGGGATGCTTTGGAGATGTTCAGGGAACATTTGCCTGTGGATAGGGTGTGTAGTATTTATAGCCAATCAAATTGAAAATTATTTTGTTAAATAAGAGACCACACCTCTAGAAGATTGAATTTTTTTCATCTTATTCCTGATTATTGAAAACTCAAATTGTTAACAAGACCACAAGTGATATTTATTAAATAAAATATTCTACAAAGAGAAATAATCACTAGCATATTAGCTAAGAAACCCTAAAACTAGTACCTTCCAAAATATCAGTTACTAAAATAAAGTTTATATTTTTCTTTTTCTTTTATTCAATGTTTTAGTACAAGTGGCTGACATCTCCTTCAAAGGATGTTTTCAAACCTAAATCAAAAAAAAGAACTATTGTCCTAGGAAATGGTCGGAAAGGAAAAGCTACTATTCGTATTGGTAATACTGTCTTCCCTCTCTCTTGGCAGTTTTGCTATTCTGCATGCTCCCATCTGTCTAGAAAGTAGGCAGTGAAATTGTCCTTCAGAGGAGGACAAATACAAATAATAATGACACAATTCTTATTAACATTATATAAATATTTCAGCTCTAAATGATAATTTTATCATTCATGTTGTCAATCTCAATAGTGAGAAAAGCTAATAGAATTTTTTTAGGAAGAAGGACAGTGAATGGGAGTGTTTTCAGTTATGAAATAACCATTGAAACTACATTCTTAAACAACTAGCCCCCAGCTGGCCCTCAAATTAAAATACTCGCTGCTAATCTCTTCTTCTGTTTTTATATTGATTATCATTCTAGTCATTAACTGGGGTACCTTTCTGTTGCTGACATTACACATAGCTAATAGTACTTTCCCTATTAGAACAGAGGGAAACTTCAGCTGTAGAGTTTGCCCCTCTTTTAGTTTGGCAATACTGAATTTAATAGAAATGAATTGTTTCATCCTCTTTCCAAATTTCACTGCTTCTTTCCTGTTAGGAGACAATAAAGAGACCAGACTGCATTAAGGGTCTGTATAAACACAAAAGTTTGTATTGCTTTAACTTCACTGGTACAGTCAAAATAGTACAGGGCCCTTAGAGTGAATGCAGTTATCTGTATAAAGGTTATTTTATCAATACAGGTTGAACCTCTCTATTCTGGCACCCTTAGGACTTGAATCAGAGAATTTGCCAAATCCTGTGAGGTCAATGTTATAGTGAGTGGATCTCTTCTTATTTCACTCCGGTTTAAAAAAAATGGAACAATATTTGCAATTCTGCTTAATGTATGACTTTACTGATACACCCTATATGAGCCTATGCCTAGCCAAGGCTTATCTCGCTTTATAGTAAAGTGTTAGTGTTGTTACACAATTTTATTGTATTGTCACAAGGAAATAAGCAGATAAAGCATAAAAAGCATGCTTATGCTTAACAGCATTAACAACACTTCCATTGTTTGCTGGGCTCTTAGAAGACATTTAGGTGTAAATTGAAGTTATATAACAGCTCAGAACAGCGAGAGCCAGGATCAGTAGCTGTAAGCAAACTTTATGGGATTGCGGGAAACTTGGCTGCACCAATGACAAGTGGACATCCAACTAACTAAAATCATGTCAGACCACGGATGTTGCTGGACCAGAGAGGTTCAATCTGTATAACGTATTCCTATTCCTGTTACATGGAGCACTGTTAGACCAGTCTAATTGTGCCCATATGCGGGGTTCTACTTGCATAATTACTTCAGTAAAATTTGATGCCCTAACCAAAATATTTGTGCTGGTACAAAAACTGTGTCTAGCTCAGGCCTTATGCTTTCCCTCCCCTTCTTCCTGGTGCTTGGTAGAATTAGTAACTTTTTGTGCGTTCTCTTAGTTCCATGTATACTGGATTAGTGCCTCTGTTTGAGAGGATAGCAGTATTTTCAATAGATTGTGTACTTGGGCTCATGCAGAATGAACTGAGGAGTGATCAAAGATACAAAAGCAAAAGATCCTGTAATTTGAGAACACCATAAGCCGTGATCCAGCATGGCCAGACTAAGGATGTTCGATGTTGAGTAATGGAATAATCATATAACTTAGCAGTAACTTAGCAGTTACATGATTATTTGATAGTCCTGGGCGGGAATAGGTGGGAGGGTTAGAGCGGCAGCCAGCGTGCTCCTGGCTGCACTCCTAGGGAGCCCCATGCCACTCTGCGCTGCTGCCTCTGATACAGAGGCAGCAGTGTGGGGTGGCAGCAGCCCCTATCCATAGGGGCCCTGGGCTCCCCACGGACAGAGGCTGCGCTGGCATCCCATGGAGCAACCTCCCCCCGCACTGAGACAGTAGGACAGCAGTCGGGGGAGAGGCAGGAGGTGCTGCAGAGGCTATTCTTATGGGGAGCTGGCTCCTGCCTCTCCTCCCCCCCCCTTGCTGTTTGTGTCTCAGATGCAGCAAGGGGGGGGACGTGTAGTCTACAGGATTAACCGATGAGACCAGGCTTATTGGTTAACCGTGCAGTTGACTATATGTTGACATCCCTAGGTTACACAAGCATTACTGTACTTAATGGAAAACCAGATGAAATTTTGAAGGTTAAGATTCATCAATTAAATGCCAGAATCAGTTTAAAATGAAGCATAATAAACTCTTAAAAAAGGGAAAAGAAACTCTGAAAATTGTTTTAGAATAGCTAAAATTTGTGCAATGGTCTGTTTCCTAAAATACAAATGTTCTCCAAATTCTCTCATTGCTGCCTAATTCAGATTCCTACTTCTGCTGATCCCTTTTCAAATAACACACAGCAAATGAAGCAGGGGACTTCTGAATTTTGTGCTGCATCAGCATAGACCTTTTTCTTCCTTCCCATGTTGACTTTAGCATAGTTTACTCACTCTTGGAATTGCTATGGATGTTGGATTCAGAGAGCAGTCTATATTTTCATATGTTGGGCTTTCCATAGCAAACTGTCCACTGCTAGCATAAGTTTTGACTAAATTATACAAATTGTTCTTCTTTTGAATTTGCGACACATTATAGTATAACTATTTTTCAAAAGGTTGCTAAAATCATACTTAATTGTGTTTCTTTGGCTGTTTATCTTTTTTAAATCTTTGCTTCAGTGATTTGGAGACACAGAGGTAAGCATAGTAAGTCAAACTGCATGAAACAGATAAATTTCAAAGGTCTTGAAATTGAGACAATTGTGAGGATACGGAAAGAAAACTACTGCTGCTAACTTTTTTGAACCTTTCTCCTAAAGTTTCGTTACTTGATAATTGTGACTAGGAATTTGAAGTCTCATCAACATCAATTATGTCTTTTTACATTGCCACCAGATTAGCAGGACTATTGTATGTTCTTCAGAGGACTATAACTCAAAGCTTTTGTTTTTGAATGCTTCAGTTAAAACAGCTCAGGTATTCCTGATGCAAAGAGAGTGGGAATATTTCCTTTTACCCATAAGTTCAAGGGCTGACTTATTTTACAGTCTGGACTGCACCCCAAAGTTAAATAACTTATTTTCATGTTCAGGTATTTCACTAAGGTAAATTATATAAACTTCAGGAGCAGTTCTTGAGCGTGGCTGGGTCTAACTGATGCAAAGCCAGAGATGGAGTGAGCATTTAATGATACAGTTAGTATTGGGATACAGTCCAAACAGTGAAATATATCTGCCCTTGGGCTAATGGGTATAAGGATATAGTCCCACTCTCTTTGTACTCAGGAATACCTGACTATTTTCACTCAAGCATTCAAAACCAAAAAAATTCTTAGAAACTTGTCCTGAAAAATTTCAGTTGGAAAGTTGTTTATTTGAAAAAATTACAAACTAAAAGAAGATCCTTAAAATGGAAATGCCTGAGCAATCTTAACTCTTGATGTTTTCCATGTTGTAGTTGTAATGAATTCTCTCTTCTCCTCCATGCCTGCTGTACAATACAGGATTATCATCTAAAAAGCCAATACAGCCTGGAAAGAGTCCATCTGATAAAGATAGCTATTCACCAAAACCATTACCACCAGGTGCATATGGTTTCCTACCGTGGCGTACTGCAGAACGTGCAAAGAGGTGCAGGTGAAGTATTAAGAGTGTGAGGAAGAAAATACAACATTCGGATTGTATCTTGGATTATGGTAGAATAAATGGATGTGGTTTTCAAAGGCCATACTGTAAATTCTAATCTATGCTTATTTTAAAACAAGTTAGTGGACACAAAACAGATTTTACATTGCATTTATAATCCTTTCTGTGTCCTGTGGTTGTAAACTGTTGCTCTGCCAATAGTTGCCATTGGTTAGCTGCATGTAGGTTTTGTTTTTTTCCAGAGCGCACTTGTTTCTTTAAAAAATAAAAAAAAAATCATGGAATATTTCATGTCATAATTGGTTCTGTAAACCAGATAAAGGAGAATAATGCTATTGGTAAAACTGATATCTTCTAATTCAACTTAGCCATTTATTTTGTTGAGTTGTAAATGCTTGAATTAGAGACAATGCTTGTTACTCCTTTTGGATTTGCGGTGCTAACAATTGAAAGAGAGACTGAGCAAGGTACTCTTCCTTCTTGTACGTCATCAGGAGATTGTTTACTAAGTTCCAATCAGTTTATGCAGCCATACAAATAAACATATAATTTATCTTTTTGTCATGTTTTCCTATCAGTCTGTTTTTGCCACATATTCACAACATGACTTTCCGCACTACTTTAATTACTTGGCTTATTTATCTGTCTGTCTTTTTATTTGTTGTGGTTTTCACGTAATGTGGAATTAACTGAATATCCTATGTCTGTGACCTTTTAAATAAGACAGAGTGGAAAATTCTTTCACGGTTGAGATAGCAGTCAAAGTGCAAGAATTTGACCACTAGATCTGGGTGGTGGAGCGTCTTTGTTGAACTTGATCATTTAGGTAGGCTAAGGTATGCAGAAGTTTGTAAGCTGCTCTATTTAAGTGACGATGGGCAGCTTCTCATAATGGGAGACTGTGTGTGTGGCTATAGGAACGATAGAGTTATGGACTCGGAGTGAAAGGGGCAAAGTCCTTGTTAGTTTAGAAAACACTTGCAGGAGGAGGTAATGGCCATGCATAGCTTCTAAACCTTACAGGAGCTGCCTGGCCCCTTCTCTCTTACTAGGGTGACCATCCGTCCTGTTTTTACCGGGATTGCTCTGTGTTTAAGCTGTCTCCTAGGCATCCCAACTTTTTTTTTTTATAAGGGGCAAAATGTCCCATGTTTGCACACCCCCTTATGGTCCTTGAGTTCCCTGGTCAGCGTAGCCACAGCAGCCTCCTATTTGTGGCTGATGGTAAAGCATGTGGTGTGTGGAGTCAGGTTTTGACTAAATTATACAAATTGTTCTTCTTTTGAATTTGCGACACATTATAGTATAACTATTTTTCAAAAGGTTGCTAAAATCATACTTAATTGTGTTTCTTTGGCTGTTTATCTTTTTTAAATCTTTGCTTCAGTGATTTGGAGACACAGAGGTAAGCATAGTAAGTCAAACTGCATGAAACAGATAAATTTCAAAGGTCTTGAAATTGAGACAGTTGTGAGGATACGGAAAGAAAACTACTGCTGCTAACTTTTTTGAACCTTTCTCCTAAAGTTTCGTTACTTGATAATTGTGACTAGGAATTTGAAGTCTCATCAACATCAATTATGTCTTTTTACATTGCCACCAGATTAGCAGGACTATTGTATGTTCTTCAGAGGACTATAACTCAAAGCTTTTGTTTTTGAATGCTTCAGTTAAAACAGCTCAGGTATTCCTGATGCAAAGAGAGTGGGAATATTTCCTTTTACCCATAAGTTCAAGGGCTGACTTATTTTACAGTCTGGACTGCACCCCAAAGTTAAATAACTTATTTTCATGTTCAGGTATTTCACTAAGGTAAATTATATAAACTTCAGGAGCAGTTCTTGAGCGTGGCTGGGTCTAACTGATGCAAAGCCAGAGATGGAGTGAGCATTTAATGATACAGTTAGTATTGGGATACAGTCCAAACAGTGAAATATATCTGCCCTTGGGCTAATGGGTATAAGGATATAGTCCCACTCTCTTTGTACTCAGGAATACCTGACTATTTTCACTCAAGCATTCAAAACCAAAAAAATTCTTAGAAACTTGTCCTGAAAAATTTCAGTTGGAAAGTTGTTTATTTGAAAAAATTACAAACTAAAAGAAGATCCTTAAAATGGAAATGCCTGAGCAATCTTAACTCTTGATGTTTTCCATGTTGTAGTTGTAATGAATTCTCTCTTCTCCTCCATGCCTGCTGTACAATACAGGATTATCATCTAAAAAGCCAATACAGCCTGGAAAGAGTCCATCTGATAAAGATAGCTATTCACCAAAACCATTACCACCAGGTGCATATGGTTTCCTACCGTGGCGTACTGCAGAACGTGCAAAGAGGTGCAGGTGAAGTATTAAGAGTGTGAGGAAGAAAATACAACATTCGGATTGTATCTTGGATTATGGTAGAATAAATGGATGTGGTTTTCAAAGGCCATACTGTAAATTCTAATCTATGCTTATTTTAAAACAAGTTAGTGGACACAAAACAGATTTTACATTGCATTTATAATCCTTTCTGTGTCCTGTGGTTGTAAACTGTTGCTCTGCCAATAGTTGCCATTGGTTAGCTGCATGTAGGTTTTGTTTTTTTCCAGAGCGCACTTGTTTCTTTAAAAAATAAAAAATCATGGAATATTTCATGTCATAATTGGTTCTGTAAACCAGATAAAGGAGAATAATGCTATTCTCGGGGACTGCCTGTATGGACTTATGAGCCTAACTTTAGGCACCTAGTTTTGAAAATGTGGTCTAAATCTCGATTAGAGAGTAGAGCTACTTTGTTGTACAGTATGATATTTTAACAACAGTTTGTTGAACAGATCATGTCAGGTATTTTTATACAGTGTTTTAACTTTTATTTCTTTTGACTGTCTTAGCAATGTATGTTTGCAAGATCAGGACTCTTAGAATTATACCTTCAAATTAAAATGCTGACAAAAGATAACATTTTTTTCAAAAAACCCACCCTGATTTAATCATATCATTGTAGGGGGTTCCCGGTGGATGATACCCGTGAATTACCAATGAAGTTCCAGGTATGATTATCAGTTACATATTACTAGGTAGGTGCATAAATAATATGCTGGCCAAATAAAATCCTTTGTACCCAGGGAGCTTCCAATACAAAACTACATAGTGACAAAACAGAAGTGGAGAGTGTTTTTATGATTTAAATACTTCCTGGAATCATGGAAATCGTGTGTGTGTGAAAATACTTCATGGTCACACTTTAACATTTGGGAAGAATTTTTGTTTTTAAGCAATGCTTGAGGTTTTATTTGTGTTCCTCGTAATTTTTTTTTTCCTTGTTAATTTAGAAAACACTTGCAGGAGGAGGTAATGGCCATGCATAGCTTCTAAACCTTACAGGAGCTGCCTGGCCCCTTCTCTCTTACTAGGGTGACCATCCGTCCTGTTTTTACCGGGATTGCTCTGTGTTTAAGCTGTCTCCTAGGCATCCCAACTTTTTTTTTTTATAAGGGGCAAAATGTCCCATGTTTGCACACCCCCTTATGGTCCTTGAGTTCCCTGGTCAGCGTAGCCACAGCAGCCTCCTATTTGTGGCTGATGGTAAAGCATGTGGTGTGTGGAGTCAGGCAGAGTGCCAAGGGAGAAACCAGTTAGGAGTGTCTTCCCTTCCTGTGTACCCCAAAGAAGGAGGGGAAGTCTTCTAGCCTTTCAGGAACATGGGGCTGAAGCCCCAACCACCGGCATCCCACACCCCAACATTGTAATGCTTGAAGATAGACATATTTAAATCCATATTGAATCACCTAAATAAGACCTGGCTTCAAAAGTGCCAAGAAGCCAACATTTCTTATAAACTCCAAAGTCAGCTGCAACGGTGCCACATCTAAACTGTACAGGAGCTGTAGGCATCAGGAATTTGAAGTCTCATCAACATCAATTATGTCTTTTTACATTGCCACCAGATTAGCAGGACTATTGTATGTTCTTCAGAGGACTATAACTCAAAGCTTTTGTTTTTGAATGCTTCAGTTAAAACAGCTCAGGTATTCCTGATGCAAAGAGAGTGGGAATATTTCCTTTTACCCATAAGTTCAAGGGCTGACTTATTTTACAGTCTGGACTGCACCCCAAAGTTAAATAACTTATTTTCATGTTCAGGTATTTCACTAAGGTAAATTATATAAACTTCAGGAGCAGTTCTTGAGCGTGGCTGGGTCTAACTGATGCAAAGCCAGAGATGGAGTGAGCATTTAATGATACAGTTAGTATTGGGATACAGTCCAAACAGTGAAATATATCTGCCCTTGGGCTAATGGGTATAAGGATATAGTCCCACTCTCTTTGTACTCAGGAATACCTGACTATTTTCACTCAAGCATTCAAAACCAAAAAAATTCTTAGAAACTTGTCCTGAAAAATTTCAGTTGGAAAGTTGTTTATTTGAAAAAATTACAAACTAAAAGAAGATCCTTAAAATGGAAATGCCTGAGCAATCTTAACTCTTGATGTTTTCCATGTTGTAGTTGTAATGAATTCTCTCTTCTCCTCCATGCCTGCTGTACAATACAGGATTATCATCTAAAAAGCCAATACAGCCTGGAAAGAGTCCATCTGATAAAGATAGCTATTCACCAAAACCATTACCACCAGGTGCATATGGTTTCCTACCGTGGCGTACTGCAGAACGTGCAAAGAGGTGCAGGTGAAGTATTAAGAGTGTGAGGAAGAAAATACAACATTCGGATTGTATCTTGGATTATGGTAGAATAAATGGATGTGGTTTTCAAAGGCCATACTGTAAATTCTAATCTATGCTTATTTTAAAACAAGTTAGTGGACACAAAACAGATTTTACATTGCATTTATAATCCTTTCTGTGTCCTGTGGTTGTAAACTGTTGCTCTGCCAATAGTTGCCATTGGTTAGCTGCATGTAGGTTTTGTTTTTTTCCAGAGCGCACTTGTTTCTTTAAAAAATAAAAAATCATGGAATATTTCATGTCATAATTGGTTCTGTAAACCAGATAAAGGAGAATAATGCTATTCTCGGGGACTGCCTGTATGGACTTATGAGCCTAACTTTAGGCACCTAGTTTTGAAAATGTGGTCTAAATCTCGATTAGAGAGTAGAGCTACTTTGTTGTACAGTATGATATTTTAACAACAGTTTGTTGAACAGATCATGTCAGGTATTTTTATACAGTGTTTTAACTTTTATTTCTTTTGACTATCTTAGCAATGTATGTTTGCAAGATCAGGACTCTTAGAATTATACCTTCAAATTAAAATGCTGACAGAAGATAACATTTTTTTCAAAAAACCCACCCTGATTTAATCATATCATTGTAGGGGGTTCCCGGTGGATGATACCCGTGAATTACCAATGAAGTTCCAGGTATGATTATCAGTTACATATTACTAGGTAGGTGCATAAATAATATGCTGGCCAAATAAAATCCTTTGTACCCAGGGAGCTTCCAATACAAAACTACATAGTGACAAAACAGAAGTGGAGAGTGTTTTTATGATTTAAATACTTCCTGGAATCATGGAAATCGTGTGTGTGTGAAAATACTTCATGGTCACACTTTAACATTTGGGAAGAATTTTTGTTTTTAAGCAATGCTTGAGGTTTTATTTGTGTTCCTCGTAATTTTTTTTTATTGCTAAAAATTGTATTAGTAGGGTTGTGTTTTTTTTATTTTTTTATTTTTTAATTAAGCAAATATCTTCTTACAAGACTCTAACATAAGTAGGAAGAAGGTAATTAAGATGGCATGGCATTTTTTTATTATTAAAGACATTTTTGGTTCAAAAACTCTACTGCGACAATCTCATCATCCTCTCAAGCCTCTGTGTAGACATACATGCTTAAACTGAAATGTGTCCATGTGAGAGGATTACAATGATTTTACAAGTACAGTGATTTCAGTTAGACTTTAGTTGGATTTTTTTTAAAGTTTAGCTGGAAAAAAATGCAGATTGAACCTCTCTAGTCTGGATCCTTGGGACCTGTCTGGTCCTGAACCAGATAATTTGCCAGACCTCTGGAGGTCGATATTATAGAGCAGAATTACCAACACTTCCACTGTTGACTGGGCTCTTAGAACACATTTAGTGATAAATTAGAACTAAATAACAGCACAGAACACTGAGATCCAGGACTGGTAGCTCTAAAAAACCTAATTGAATGACAGGGAAACTTGCTCGCACCCATGATAAGCCGACATCCAGCTAACTAAAATTATGCCAGACTACAGATGTTATCAGACCAAAATGTGCCAGACTAGAGAAGTTCAGTGTGTACAAATATTTTCATCAGCAGCGACCATGAGTTCAACGCCCTTTGGTGTCCGATGCCTCCCTCACTATTTCCTTCCATCTTTCCCTGTCCAGTGCAGAGTGGCTTAGTTTCTGTAGACTAGCTCCGCACCAATCTACTATATCATCTACCCATTCTCTGTGGGGTCTGCCTCTCCTATTCAGACCATCCATTATGCCGAATACCAAGGTCTTAACTTTTCGTTCATCGTTCATTCTGCAGATATGCCCGAATATTCTGCAGCAGGTTCTCTTTCAGCTGTATCTTCCTATATAATTCCTTGTTGATGACTTTCTGCATCTATCCTATTCTCAGGATCTTTCTATAACTCCTCTTGAATGCCAATATCCTTCTCTTCAAATCTTTCGTTATCACCCATGTGTCACATCCGTACAACATGCTGCTAAATACACATATTTCCTTAGCTAATCGCTTTACTTTTCCAGATTTTATATGTGAACTTCTCTGCGTTCTCTAGTTCGATACCATCTACACTCCTTCCTATTTCCTTATCTCTAAATACCATTGTCTTAGTTATATCAATATTCATAATCAGTCCATACTGCTTCCCTTCCTCATTTATCACCTGCACCATTCTCGCTAACTTCTCTTCATCTTCCTTACTGATAACTATATCATCTGCGAACCTCAAGTTGTTAATTTTCATCCCATGTATCGATATCCCTTCCGCCTCTTCCTTGATCTTGTCCATTGCTCTCTCTAGGTCTGTGAAGAAGATACTCGGCGATATCAGATCTCCCTATCTCGTACCTCTACTTGTTCTAAACCAACTTCCCAACTCTCTGTATGTTCTTACTGCTGCCTCTGTATTACTATTGGTATCCTTCAACAACTGTATCAGTCTACTATCCACTCTGTACGACTTTCTAATCTATACTGTCAAATGCCTTCTAAAAGTCAATGATGCAATTGTAGATGTTCTTGTTCTTTCACTGAACTTTCTCTGCTATCAATCTTAGTGCCAATATCTGCTGTATGGTACGTCTATCTTTCCTGAATCCCTCTTGCTCATCCACTAGATGTTCTTCTATCTGCGATCTCAATCTCTCCATCAGTTTCATCTTCAGCACCTTGCCTAGATGACTCGTTAAGGCAATCGATCTGTAGTTCTTGCACTCCAACTTGCTTTCTTTCTTGTGTATTGTCACCAGCACAGATCTTGTCCATTCCTTAGGTGCCTTCCCTTCTTTCCACGCTTTATTACATAGTCTATGTATTTCCTGAATCATACTTTCTCCACTGTATTTGATCATCTTTCCCGTGATCTTATCATTTCCAGGGCTCTGATTGTTCTCTAGTCATTTCACTGCTCTTCTTACTTCCTCCTTCAAATTATCGGTCTCGCTCTCAATGCCCAGCGGTGATATGATATCTCTTTCTATTCTTCAATCATTTTGAGTTCAGTTAATTGTGGTATAGAAGATACTAAGGGAAGCATACTCATGAAATCTCTGGCACCAATCACCTGCTTTGAGGTTGACATTAATTTATCTGTTACTGAAAGCATGACCATTTTACTGCTAGTAATTTAAAAGAATAGGCTGTAGGGGAGAGGAACCTTGATAGTTATGACAATGTTTGCCATTTTCATAATATGGTGTGTTTTTTTTAATGGAGTAAAATCACTCGCTCTCCATTGGAATTCTGGGTTGATCAGGAACCAAATCAGTTTCCAGCGTAACTAGCATTTCAGGAGCTGCTCTAAATTGTTACCTTGCTTGGACTACCTCTGAGCATTTTTGCATCCCAGAGCTGTGCAGAACTAGGTATGTTTACATTGCGCGTTCTTGCATAAGAAGATATGCAAATAAGGTGCGGCGATGAACATCGCCGTGCCTCATTTATATACCTAATGATCTGCCATTTTGCGCAAGGGGCATTTGCACAAGGAGCAGTCTACACTGAACATAAGCAGCAGAATGGCTCTTGTGCAAAAGCCCCTTGTGCAAAAATGGCAGCTCATTAGGTATGCAAATGAGGTACAGTGATATTCATCACCATGCCTCATTTTCATATAATCTTGCGCAAGAATGCGCAATGTAGATGTAGCCTTACTGAATAACTATGTATCTCTGCTTCCACTACCTGCAGGCAGACAGGCCCCCACCTGTAGTACAAGAGCTTTGGAGATCTCTGGGTAACACAGTGGTTAGGATTTATCTTGCGTAGTAATTGTAACAAAAAATTACCATTCAGGCACAACTTTTATCTCTGTGTCCATAGTTATTATAATGAAACAGTATTTTTATAGTTTATGGTGCTTAAAATATTCTTCCTGGTTCATTAAAATGCTTTTAAGTCTAGTATAAAGAGAGACTGCAAATGACAGACTTTACCTCATTTTTGGCATGGAAATTACTTTGCAAAAGATTATGCATACCCTTTCCACATGCACACTTATTTCTAGATTGTTTGGAACTATTCAGAGGAACACATTATGACTAATTCAGAATAAGATCTTTGTGGATGACATGGCTTCTAATCAGAAGTATTCACTAATATTGTATAACATATTTCCTTGTTAAACATTGTTTAATAATGCTCGTATATTCACTTAT